CTCAATGGCACTTGATGGTTTATAACAAAGCCATTTTTTGTATTACTTACTTTTGTCTTTGATGATGTTGTTCAACCATTATCAGATGCAGGTCAGGAGCACTAAGGACTGTTCCTCTATAATCCTCACTGAGTACATGAGGACGGATTACATTCTTAACTCTCAAATGGCAGCCATCACCTACAGAAGTTAGCTGTAGGGATGGTGGTCATCATCAGCGGAAGTTTCATGTTCCATTTTTACACATATGGGGTGGGGATGATCCTTAACCAGTGACTAAGTGATAAAGAAGGTACCTGTAGCTTCCCTATTTGCAACTTGTCCTGGCATCACACGACCCAACTGTACCCAGACTGGCCACACGCACGTGCTCTACTGATTGTCTCTAGATCCAAGCTTATTATAGAAGCTAACCTCAGGTCTGACACAAATTGTTCTGTTTAGTAAAGATTCATGTGTTGTATAATACAACATCACTTATTGTGTACCTGTGCAGTATTTTCCGTATACTGTATACCTGTACCTGCATTATCTATATACATGCTGAACTGTATACCTGCATTTTTTATATACTGTATGCTGAACTGTATACCTGCATTGTCTCTATACATGCTGAACTGTATACCTTTATTGTCTATGTGCATGCAGAACTGTATACCTGTATTGTCTGGATGCTGAACTATAAACAGTTCCTGCATTGGCTATATACAGGTTGAACCAATTGTAAACTTATATGATAAGTTTACTGATTAAATATATATCTATCTACCTTATCTAAAGTGGTCTAGTGTATGGAAATATTTTTAGCTTTTCCCTGATAATTTTGTTTCATCACAGGTGTTACTCTGTTGCAGTGTGAGCCAGTGTGAGGTGGAGGTAAATATTAAACTGAGGTGTTTAGCTGTAGCTCTGGAAGATTGACAATTTGTCTTTATTTAATTATAAACCAGAACACCTTTATTTCTCACTTTTTATCCATGTATAATTTGGCTAAATTTATCTTTTAAATTTACCTGGACTTAGAATGCTATCACAATATGATTTGAAATTAAAGAAAAAAAATTATATTCCGTTTCCTTTTGTGTTTTCAAAGACTTTAAAATTAATATGATGTAGTGAGACTGTTAAACTGTACCGGTGCTTTACATATCTTTCCCATTTATATTAAACTAAACCTTAAAAATGCTTTATTGTTCGTTAAGGAATTCAATCTCATTAGTTCGGTGTCATTTAATGTTGCTCTAAAATCTGTTGACTGACTTATGTGGCAATTATTCCGTTATAGTCAGGCCAGTTACGTAATGTTTTAGGAGATACAGCTTATAACATAGTGAGCTCCGTCCATTAACGCAAACCATTTTTATTTTCTAAATTTGTCGTGATGGTGAACACACACTGGGTTGTGAAGGTGTGCATGGTGGGAAAGGATTTGGAATAAGGAATACTGAAGGCGAAAGAACATTTGAGTTTGGGGATGGTATGCAACATGTGTTTAAGAAGAGGGCAATTAGGCTGACCATGTAGGCCTAAGTCAGGTGGCACAGGAACCCAGATTGACTACATTTTTGTCAGGAAATTAGAACAGGTTGCTTGTTAAGGATGCTTGAGAATGTGTGCATGACATGTTACTTAGAGATGAAGGGAGAGGTAAAAGGTGGATGTTCCAAGAAGGAGAGTGTGGGAATTGTCAAGAAACAGAGTGAGGGGCAGTGTTCCAAGATGCTGGGCCATAATAAAAGATGTTCCGTTGAGTGTGGTTGATAAGATTTGTGGCGGGAATGATGAAGTGGAGAGAGAGATAAAAAGAGAAAAGAAGATTATGTGAGGTGTGGAAGATGGGTGGCAACAGAGAGAAGTACAGTACCTAGAGGCTAAACTGAGATGGTTCAGGCTTGTGGAGAGAAGGAGGAAACTAAATGGGTCAAGAGATACATGAATGAATGTGGAGGGGTTGGGGAGGCAAAGGAGGTTGTAAATAAATGTTGGTGCTACTATAGTAACTGAGTATGTTTGTAGCTTGGAATAATGAGGAATAATCTGAACAAACTGAACAGAAAATTAAAGAATAATTGAACACAAAAATTGAGAAATTGTCGAATACCCGGTAATATCAAAATATTCTGAACTCAGTTAATTTGTATTTTCAGTAATTTGAGTGACCCAGAGTCTCTTTTTGACAAATCAATGAGGGTATAGTGCAGTTTGTGGTCCACAGAATTACTGAAAATGCAAATTAGTGTAACCGAGTTCAGAATATTTTGATATTATTCGACAATTTCTCAATTTTTTTGTTCAATTATTCCTTCGTTTTCTGTTCAGTTTGTTCAGATTGTTCCTCATTATTCCAAGCTACAAACATACTCAGTTACCATGCCTTGTCTGCCACATAAAATACTCTATTTATAATTACTGTGCAAACAAATATTTTTTTATAGTACAAATAGTAATAATAAAGTAAATAATAGTCATAAATAAATGTAAGAACTGTGAGGTGAACTGATAATATGTAGATGATATTCAGAAAGTGTAATAGCATTCAGGATCAGGTCTGGGGTCCACTGCTGCTATCAAGAAGATTAATCCCTAATCCCCACCCTACCTAACTCAGGAGACTGATTCCTTTGTTCTATGTGTTTCTCCCTTGTTTTGTTGTGTTAGTTGGCAGAAAAGGGACCTATTGTGCGTTTTTTCCCAGCTGAAAAGAGATGCCCCGCCTCCTCCTCAAGAGTTACAGCTGATTGACTGATGCAAATCTGTCCAATTTCATCCTGAAGTAATGATGTTTTTCTAAATGAGTTTATTCATAATGGTTGGGATGACAGTTCCTGACGAGAAAGATATTTAGCTAAATTATATAAAGATACAAACAATCATTATTTCAAACATGAGCATGTAGGAAGTTTATTAGAAGTATTATACATGAATTAACTGTTAAACTCTGGTAGCAAATTGATGCTTTCGGAGGATGCATTTAATATACAGGATACTTATTTTACCCACAATAAGGCATACTAAGACAAATTACATATTGGTAATACTACATTATGCAAAAACTAACATTTTAAAAGATCAAAATCATATTGAAATATTACACGGCCGTCAACAGAGGCGGGAAATATGACTGTGAACAACTTCATTTTTCCCCGCTTCTGCTGACAGCTGGAGTAGCCAAGCTACCCCCCCAGCCCAGTCTGTCACACTCATCCATCAACTTTCAGAGGCCGTATAATATTTCAATGTGATTCTGATATTTTAAAATGTTTCATGCAACTAATCATGTCAAACTCAGCTCAAAAAAAAATTGTTCTTTTATTTCTCCAATGAGGGTTTTTACTTAATTTAAAAATGCACTACTGTATAGTCAAACCAGCTCAAAAAATTTTTTTCTTTTATTTCTCCAATGAGGGTTATTACTTATAATTTAGTTATTATTGTATGTACAATTAAAGACATCTAGTCGTGTTACGGTTTTGTCCACAGATTAAATTAACTCGTGAAACGTTACTGAGAGCCCTACTGTACAATTAAAGACAAAAGTCGTGTTACGGTTTTGTCCGAAGATTAAATATAACTCGTGAAACGTTATGAGAGCCCTACTACAAGGCAGAGCGCACCAAAAGTTTAGCCCTTCGGCATATGTTTTAACCAAATTTTACGACACGAGTTTTGTCTTTCATTGTACATTTTAAAAATATCTATATTTGTACAATAATTATAAATAGAATATTGTGTATGGCAGCCAAGGCAACTTTTCGAACCACTCGGTTATTTCAGATTCATTCCAAATTCAAATCGTTTAATTTTTTTAAAAAAACATGAATTAAGCTAAAGTCCAAATCACAACAATCTGATTTAACGAGGGTACAGTATACTGTATAGTGTAAATATCCCAGTAGACTGCATAATATAGCAGCACCGAAATGTCAGAATTATTTTGATGTATTAAATCTGATTATGCCAAATATTTTTGTATTTATCTATTAAGGTCTAGATGTGCTTAACAGTACTGTAATGTATTTCGAAGTCCAAAAATTCATTGTTTAAAAATATTCTAAGTTAAAAAAATATTCTAAGTCCAAAAATTCAATTTAAAAATATTCTAAGTCAAAAAAATAAATGTTTACAAATATTCTAAGTCCAAAAATTCATTGTTTAAAAATATTCTAAGTCCAAAAATTCAGTTTAAAAATATTATAAGTCCAAAAATGGCCAAAATTATTCCTGGGTAAATTTTGAGTTATAAGAAATTGTCTGGTTTTAGGGGTAAAAAATGCCTGCCATTTTCTAGAGCTCCAACTTGGCACCTCCGTTCTTGTTTATCATCAGCCATAACAGACTACCTGGACGTGGGGAGAGTAACTGTGGGCCAGTGAGGTGCCTGTGGATTATTCTCCCCACGTCCAGGTAGACCGTTGGGCTTGTATTCTGTTTTATTGGTGAATGATAATTTGAAGAGGCTGTTCTCCGGACACTCTTCCGATTATCTTTTACCAAATTTTTTCAAAGTTAGTCCTGGCAATGGTAAACACTGCAATCGACTTAAGGGTAAAAAAAGTGAATTTTTTTGCCATTTTTTGCTAAAATTTTGCTATTTTTTCATAAAAAATGGCTATTTTTTCCATTTTTTAGGCTTTTTTGGCTAGTTTTTCATGGTTTTTGCTGTTTTTTCATAATTTTTACTGTTATTTTCATATTTTTTCATGGTTTTTGTTGTTTTTTCATAATTTTTAGTTTATTTATTTTTTTCATATTGTTTTTATGGTTGTTATTTTTTATTGATATTCTATATTTTAGCTATTATTTATTTATATATATATATATATATATATATATATATTTTTTTTTTTTTTTTTTTTTTTTTTCATTTGTATATTATTTTTGTATACAAGATTTTTCTAATGCTTTATGAAAGTATTTTGCTTCAAAATCTGAAGCTGAACTTAATTTTCTGTAAAAGTTCAAAGTGTTAAAGCAGGGAAAAGGTTAATGAATACTTGTAGTGACATTCAAACATTTATTAATGTAAACTTAATGGTATTAAAAATTTTTCTTCAGCACAGGGCAGTCCAGGGGCAGCGGCCAGCACGGGGGCAGTCCAGGGGCAGCGGCCAGCACGGGGGCAGTCCAGGGGCAGCGGCCAGCACGGGGGCAGTCCAGGGGCAGCGGCCAGCACGGGGGCAGTCCAGGGGCAGCGGCCAGCACGGGGGCAGTCACCACAATGTTCAGAATAACATTTCTGTACAAAATACAAGTTTAATATTAATAATAATTCTTTAACCAGAAATATATTTTAAGTCTGGTAATGACTAAATGTACTGTAGTGTTTTAGACAAAATCCCTTAACACTTGACAAGGACCAAATGTACAAACCCCATTATATAAAAAATAAATTTGTTAATTACAATCCTTCACCTAATGATCTTTGATATACTGCCAAGTGTCCAGGGAATATCAGTAACTGTACAGCAACTTAAACCATGTACAGTATACTGTACAAGTTAAGCATCATATTTACAAAACTATAAGCTATCACAAAACTTTCCCACATGCAAGTTTAGTTTAACCATAAGTTATTGATGAATCACAACTACAATAAACCTGTATCTTTGGTTCATTGTTTTATCAATGTTTTTATGTTCTTTCAATGACTGCTTTAGGAATTTGTGAATAATTAACTGCTTTTCATTAAATTTACAACAATGAACTTCTGCGAGTTGGCCAATCACATTTCTCGTAATATTCATATGATTCTACAACTGGGTACAGTACAGTATTGTACATTGAAAGTGAACATTGCTAAATAGCAATTTATTATTATTGTACACAAGGTAGGTAACTTTACATGTACGTATTATTATAATACAGTATACACAATTCCATATGCATTTCTGAATTTACCAAGTCGAGCATTAATGAGCAAAAACTATTTCTTTAGTTTTAAGTTTTGTATTAAATGATTTTGAAGTTGTAAAAAGTTCATTGTAAAGGTAAAGTTAATACAGTACTGTACCCATGAAAGATCTCAAACAAGATATTTTCAAAGTACTAATTCAGTACAGTAATTGAAGACCTATCAAATACTTTAGTGATGCACCATTTGATATTTACAGATAATAAACCAGTGTATTCACTCCCAGTAAACACTACTCCTTGCACTGTCACTATGTTGAAGTGCACTGTAGTTTGAGCTTTTCCCCATCTAGTTATTATATATCTTATTTGTGTCACTTATGTTACTTGTATATTATTTGTAATTCGAAACCCATTCCCCAAATATGTAACTGTATATTTTCAGCCTTCTGGCTGCCAAGCTCTTTCAATAAACCGTTAATTATTATTATTATTATTATTATTATTATTATAACCAGATTCAACACTCAATATTCTGCCACCAGATTTAAAACATTTAAATTTAATTCTATAATTTAGGTCAATTTTATCAAGCAGGTAAAAGTTAAAGTCGCTATATTATATTATGTCTCGCCCATTGACAAATGCATCAACTTCAGTAATAGCAGCTGGGTTTTAAATTTCACAATTGCAGCATTTAAGTCTACCCGGCACAACACTAACAACTCACTGATCGAGTCCACTATTTATAGATAAATAATTTAAAGGCTGTTCATAGCTGCAACCATCCAGGAAGAATACCGTGTACAGTAGCTAAAAACTATCTGTACATACTTTGTGGGAAACAATACCAGTCCATGGACGATAAATATTGGTATACGAGGGCTGTCACTTGTCGCACGTAAAATTTTGGAGCATATCGACCCCCACTTTCACAGACAGTTGATTTAGCTACTGTACATTGTCTTCATTAAATGTACAGTATACTTGTACAGTATAATAAAATGTACAGACTAATGTTAACTCAAATGGCAACTTTTCTAGTGTTTAAGACTTATTTTGGAACATTTAATCATTATGTGCTCATTCTCCAATAAAATATAATATTTAAAGGGAGTTTTATCTTTACTAATTGTTATTAAGAACTCATCTCTAGCCTCAAAGACCTACCAGGTCATTCTTAGTTATAATTTGGGTAATAGTGGTAAATAAAATATTTATTGTACTTTTAAGATGCCATAATATATAAAACAATCTTTCTCGTCAGTGACCGTCTTTACCAGATTATTTTTATCTTCAGAATAAATAAAAGCTACTTTGTCTGGCCTGATAATATATTTACTACCATATAATTAAGTACTGTAGACAGACCTGCACTGAGGACAGCCATGTTATCCATCACAAAACTACCAGACAATGATCGGCAGCCAAGTGTGACATTTCCATAAGTTAACAGACCATGACTGGTTTCCGTAATTATGTATTTTGTCGGTAATAAAAATTTTACCCCGTAATTTCTTGACCCAAAACAGACAGCAAAATGGCATCAGCTAATACTTTGTTTACCTATACTGATTATTCCACAAAATATTGATATATGTAACTTGTATCAATTAGTTGGTGCATCCCTAATATTGTACTGTACCAATACTTTGATATTTACACTTACGAGTCAACTAGACAAGGTAGTCCATGGGTTACAATTACTGTACTTTGTTGAGTTTAGTGAAGAAACTCCTGAGATAACCTGGACTGTACCCCCTACCTGGACTGGTGTAGTGCAGTGCAGCATGGGTCATTTCACCAGGAGAAAACTCCTGGGTTATTTGTTGGATCCTCCATCATCAAGTCATCATCCTGGAATGAATAATTGTTACAACTCTGTAATAAACAAATGGTATACCTACACAGTACACTACTATTATACAGTACATGCTACATTAATGCAGGTATCCCCCAATATACAGTACATATGTCTGATAAACAATAGTTTCAACACATGTCTACACTACAGAGAAGCAATCTGAATAAACCCCATTTTGATGCCACTTTTATCTGTACGTATATGAATAAAGATTTTTCCTTCACAGGAACATAACCCCAATAATATGCAAATTACTTCCACTTAATGAACACATTCCCAAGAATAAAACTGTTGTATATCAAGGGATACCGGTTAACTAGTTTACTGAATAAATGAAGCATTACAGTACACAGAATTTAAAATGAAAAGTGGAGAAAACGCAATGTTGCGCAACCTTATTTTTACTGTAGCTCTAACTATTAGTGCAATCAGTGATAAGCTTGGATATAGTGTATTACATAAACCCCTGACTGTACTGGTTAACTGCCCCCTAAAATGTTTTATAGTACAAGATTATTGATTTACATTATGCAAGGTCTGTTAGTGAAAGAAAAGGTTTATTACATTCAAGAGCTGTTGGTGAGAGTAAGGCATAGTAACATTCAACACTTATTCTCCAATTTCTTTTAAGACTGCTGCAACATTAATGAACAAAATTGTGACCAAATCAGAACCAAATTAAAATTTTAAGACCCTAACATTTACAATTAAGAGTTATACTAATCCAACGACTACAAACCTCAACAGGCAATCAACCCAGAACATTAATAATTCTTTACAACAACAAAGTTCCTTGTAAAGTTCAATAAATATAATTAAAAAACTAAATTCCACCATGTTAACAGGTAATACACATTCTTCACTACATATAAAGTTTATATTGAATACTAGTGTATTAACTGTACTGGGAACAACATACTGGACAACTATAGATGCAGGCAAGTCAAAACTGCCAAGGTTGATTCCAGTTATCAGTGTAACTTAAGAGTGATCCAATAACTGTATTTATGCTAGACAGGACCTGAGAGTCAGCCAGGTGAAGGTACTTCTTGGGGAAGTAGGATTTTGAATATACTGTAAATGGTGGAAAATTAAACTAAAGGGAAGAGACGACCCTTGTTGGATGTACTTATAGGTAACTGGTGACACTGACTGGAAGAATGAAATTGCACTGAAACAGTAATGCAGACACTGCTGAATAACAGCAGTAAGACAGCCAATCGGATTCCTAATGATGGCAATTCAAAGCTCCCAAAAGCTTTCTACGTGTGGTCATCGAAAACCCAAGACGATCATAGTTGCAGACTCAGATCAGGGCAAGACATGCATTAAATAGTGTTCACAAGAAGATGCAAACCTTTGTGTGTTTGAGGACTGACAACACTAACATGTTCTCAAGCCAAGTATTGAAAAAATTATCAAAACTAAAGTTGGAAAAATTACATTTCGGCCAAAAGGCCCTAGTAATTTATCCTGTGTATTTTGGAGAATTAATCGATTTTGACCTTTAATTCCAGGGGGAAGTAACCGTTTTAGAGTTATACCCCTAAAAGTATGGAAAACCTTTAAAATTAATTTGACCATCTTTGCCCCCTGGTTGAAATCTCCAAATGAGATGTAAAGGTTGGGGATGGTTAAAACAGTCGGCCGTGTATTGGCCGAAACTAAACCATATGGGTACATATGGCGAGCTTCCAGTGTTAAAGAGTTATACAATGAGTTTTCTGAGCGCAAATCTTTTTGTACAGATGCATAAACAAACAAAACGTCCCCCAATGTCTGAAAAATTACATTAAAGTTCTATATTGAAACGGATGACGTGAATAATTACAGTACTGTATAGGTCACCGAGAGACCGGCATATTGTGTAAAGTAAAGCCAATTGGTTCATGCCATTGTCCAGCTTATAGGCAAGCAAGGTGCGACTTAATACAAGTTAATAAACATGTAATAGGGCATTAATTAGTTTTGTGTTCATAACTAGCAGACGCCGGCCCCACTAGACGCCATAGCTTAAGGTTAATGACAAGTCCAGAAAACCCGAGGCAATTTTTTTTGGTAGCGAGTTGTGAATGGTTGGTACAATCTATCGTGATGGCACCTAGTGTGAGCTCTTTTGTGACTACAGTACAGTACTTGCCAACAGTGCTTAACTGTCCGTACATGCACAGTACTTGCCAACAGTGTAACGGACAGTACATGCGCAGTACATGCCCCGTACTTGCCAACAAGAGCCAGTACATACTCCGTATATTTGCCAACAATATCTAGATGCGCTCGACCGCCTCTTGACCCCAGTGGCAAAGTTTAAAGTGAAGCAGACTTGACATTTCACTGTAGAACAAACTTTCTAACCTCATTAATACGGTGGTGCTGTAATACCCGCGCTAACGACCACTGATGCAGCAAACTGGTCGTCAACACAACAGTAACAGCCAATTGGATCCATCATGTGTTAAATAATTCTTGTAACTTAAGACCCAACATGTAAGCATGATCGTTACTTAAATAAAACTTTACTTAAATATTAAAAAAGTCTTACCATTGACCAAAACTAAACCATATTTCAATAATTTAGATATAAGCATAAGCAAAAATAGTAAAGTATTCTCTATAGTAAATAGTCAGTGTGATTACTAATTACCATTAACCTATACTTGTTCACTAGTGCTTGTTTGTTAACTCAGCATTGTGTATCTTCAATATTTTTTTTACAAGTCCGTTTAGATTATTTCCTTTTACAATAAATCACTCGGTACAAAATCGACAAATAAATAGCGTTAATGCATCGACCATTACCAATAAAATAAAATCAAAACAAAACTTACTGTACATTTAAAGAGCAGCGTCCGGCAAATGAGAGAGACAACCGGCAGCACCTACCGCTTTGGTGACTCTGCGTGCACTGCTGTCTTGTGGCTAATCACCGGTCCATATAGCCGCCTTCCCGCCAAACCCTTCATCCGAATGATGACTAATAACAAAATAAATACAACCTAAATCATGTATACACATTTTAATACAAATTTTATTGTAAATTAATTAATATCGTAATATAGAAAAATAACAATAAGGAAAACTTAACGGAAAAATAAATACAAAGATGAATACAATAATATACTATAATACAAATTGTTCAGCTTCGGATACAGCCATGTGTTGACCAATCAGGGCTGCCAACATTACTGATTTACTAACAATAATATATTACTAATTACTAACAATAATATAATGCTTTTCAAATTAATTAAACTTTTAACTCCGGAAACCTTACGTGCAAAAATATAGACCAATTACTTCATCAACTACAATAATGGTAAATACCGTACCTTACTGGGTGGTTACCACTGATCGGTAATAGATAGATAGATAGGCCTGTCAGTGACGAAGAGGGTAAAGAAAAATAATTTCTTCAATACACAATAATAAAAAAATAAAATAGTTACCCATAAAGGATTGTTTTCTCTTATTACATTATGAAAGAAAACGAATGCCAATAAACAGTTACGACAATAGGTACATTCAGGAGCCAGTGTATGTTCAGTACTGCCAACAGCGCGTAACAGAGACATGACCGATCGCCCAAGCGGCTAACGAGCCGATCAGTGGTGAAGAGGATAAAAGTAATACTGTATACTATATAATATACTATATTATATACTATACTGTATGCTATATTATATAGTATAAACTATACTATTATACTTTACTATATGCTATGTTATATAGTATAGTATACAGTACAGTATAATGTTTAGCATAGTATTGTAGTGGATTCCTCCCCTACAAACGCTGTTTGCCGCTGACTGGCCGACCCCCTCGAATTCTCCAGCCTTGCCTCGTGTCTAGGTCAGCAACCAGCGCCGCCTAACAATGCCGGAGGTCAACTATTAAGCCACGCCTACCTCCACTATATAAGACCTCACCTCGTGGTGACCTCTCTCTTTCTACCCACAGCTACCAGCAAGCAACACCACCTCCTCCGCTCCTGCCTGGCAGCCCTCACTCCCGCCTGCGACCCACAAGCTGGTCCTCCTCTGGGCACCCTCACCAACCAGCTCTCCTTACTCAACGCTTGTAACCATGCTGCCTTCCCAGCACCAAGCTGCATTATACATCCAATACAATATGTACACAAAGAGCACATTGTGAGTTTCCTTTCTCCATCCCATCCTGAGTGTGAACCAATATCACGTACCCCACAGTATATTATATAGTGTGCAGTACATATTAATTTAGTATATAGTATAACATACTGTATATTATAGCATACAGTATAACATATACAGTAGCATAGATTATAGTGTATAGTATATAGTACAGTATTATACAGTAGTGTATATCTATCACGGGTTGAGCCAGGGTCAGCTGATTTAGTGAACACTACTCCCTCTGCTTTACTCTCTCACGCCCTAGAAAGGGGCAGTTCACTTACCACCACTAGACAGGGAAGTTCACACTTACCATAAGTGTTATCTCAAAGTGATATTAACAACACTTCCCTGGAGACAATTAACATTGTATTCTCTCAGATTGTATCTGTGTATAAAACTGCTTTCAGCAATAAAACTAAAAATGCCCAAAGTGTTTACATCAAGCCTCGCCACTTAAGAGTGCCAAAACTTAATTAAAACGATTAATGGGATACCAAAACAGCTATGACATATAGTTTAGTTTAGTATATAGTATAGTATATAGCATAGTATATAGTGTACGTAGTATATAATATAGAGCAAAGTATAGGGTATAGTATAGTGGCCCGAACCATGTCTGTCGGCCCGTGTTAAAAGAATAATATTCACACAAATCGTTACTGTTTCATCACCTAAGTGTAAGTAACTCCGAAAACATATGTGAAATACATATAAATAGTCAACAATATAATCATTTGAACTTTTATGAGTTTACGGGCTAAGTTTGGCATGGTGTGTTTGATGTTAATTACCTAAGGTTGGGCAAGTCCAAATGGGGTCTTGGGTGGTCGTCATCGGTACAGGCCTCTTCCCTGTTGATAGACTCTCTCTCTCTCCATAGTACCTTGTCACTCATGCCTGGCTGTTCTATTTATTTATTCTTGTCCGATTACAAGAGCGGATCCAGGGGGTCCGGGCCCCCTTTTCATCAGAAAATTCCAATATTTCTTATTTAATGCAGTATTGTACTCAGGCATTTTTGTATAGTATATACATGGACCATGCACACCTACAGTGATTTATTTGCATAGTATAGTATACTGTATGCTGTAGTATGTAGTATAGTATGTATATTATATAGTGTACGTATAGTATAGTATAGCATATAGTATGGAGTATAGTATATTATATAGTATAGTATAGCATAGCATATAGTATAAAGTATATAGCATAGTATAAAATTATAGTACCTGTATACTGTATAGTACAGTATATTGTATAGTAAAGTACCTAAAGTACTGTATGGTATAATACAGTATATAGCATATTATAGTACAGTTTAGTATATTATAGTTTATAGTATAATACATAGTATATACAGGGCGAGTCCAAAGTCTCCATACTTATGGGACCATGGTGGTCAATCCAGTGAGCCGGAAACTGATGATCCAGCAGCCACTGGCACACACTGATACCGTAATAGGGTAGCGCCCCGTCTTGCTGAAATGTAATGGTGGCCACATAGAGCATAATTTGTGACTTATATGTGATTGTGTAATAAAGTGATCATTTTGCCTATGTATGGAGACTTTTTATAGTATATATACTATAGTATACACTACTTTATAATACTGTACTATAGTTTATTCTAAGCATTTTAGTAATTAACCATCAAATGAATATATTAATGAAAACTTTTTACCACACAATAAAGCTCACAGGTGGAAGTTACCATAAATAACTAGTAATTTCCTCATCCAGCCAAGTACCTTTGTATTTCTGTACCCCAACATCTAACTTTGGTAATTAGCTCCACCTTCTGCTCAGGTTCATTATGGCCACCGTTTCGAGGTACTGTACTGTGAGTAGTGTGTACTATATTTGGGATGTAACATTAGCTGTGGTGGTAGATGTACATAAGAAATCAAAACATGAATAGGCCAAGCAAAAACAGCATTTAAAAATCTAAAAACCCTAATGAAAAGGGATTTTAACTTCAATTTGAGATAAAAGGCTGCTGAAAGGCCTTATATGGCAAGGACTGATGTACGAGTCAGAAGTGTGGAGTCTTTCGGCAGACACTTGAGAGAAGTTGGAGGCCTTTGAAATGTGGTGTTTTAGGCGAATGCTAAGAATAAGCTACACTGACAGGAAAACAAATGAAGTATGAAGATAAGAAAAAAAAAATCAAGAAAAATACTTGAAATGTACAAAAAAAGGGAAAATTAGATACTATGGTCATATCAATAGGGAAGTGAGGATAATAACATGGGCAAAGTTGAGGGTAGGAGGGCCAGAGGAAGGCAGAGACCAAGATGGATAAATGTAATTAAGAACTAGGTCCCCAGAGATACATAACCTTGTAGGATTGGTAAAAACAGCGCCAAGAACGTTTAGAGTGGAGGACTGTAGTCGCCAACCCTCGGATATAAGAACGAGACTCTGATTGACTGAACTTACATACTGTTCCCTGTGTATTTTACCTATACTGTCTCGGTAATAAATACAAACAATACAATATATTATGCCGACTTATTTGAGAGAAGGAAATTATACTAATCAGTAAGTGAAGTATCAGGGATAAACCAGATGGATATTCAAAGAGTTTTACAATACAAGGGAACAGCATAACACAACACTACAGTATGTCAGAGAGCATAATGTTACAACCTAGGAAGATGTGTGTTTACTTCTGATTCAGCCACTCTATCATAATGGGAAATGCTTACAAAAAATAACATATAATAAACTAAATAATATTATTGAAAATTGGATTAATGACCTACATAATGTCTACAGCTCCTAACTGCACATAAGTAGAGTCTAAAGATAATGTAGGTCATCTGCTGTACATAATAATGATATGCTCTAAATGTGAAATGAATTGAGCAGTTACTAATATATGACTTGAACAGCAGCGACAATTATAACACAAATTATAATAAGGTTGTTCTGCACTTTATACAGTTGTAAGAGCTGTGCTTGTATTCCAAGACCATATCTTATACAGTATTTAAAATGCAAAATTTGACAAAAACCAATGATTCAAGTTACTTTTCCCTTGACAAACATATTTTGGGTACCAGTGGCCTTCAACCTACAATACTGTTTTAACAAATATTTCAGTTATGGCTCCTAGAAAAATAATAAGTTGAGTCCAGCCATTAACCCCTTCACAGTGTACTGGTAACACCCAAGACCCTCATCCCCAATATGTTCAGAAGAATCTATTTACCTATCCGTAATATCTAGTTCCATTTTTCTGTTTTATCTTCCCAAGAATACCAGTAACATTAAAAATTTACTAAAAATTCAAATTCATTCAAGCCACAAATGTGCTCACTTGAGGCACAGTCCCAATAATCTTCTGTCAGGAAAATATATCAACCAGTTTTCTCTTGCAGATACATCCAGTATTTTAAAGTTGTTCATCTAAACATTGTACTGTATACATAATCTATAATAATACATTGTGGGAAGGATAATAATAAAAATAATACACTGTGGGAAGGGAGAATAAGACTGTGGAGTGTAATTAATATTTAATATTTTTGTACAAAGATGCTGAGTACTAGGTGAGAGATGTTGCAGTATAAGAACACACTAGAACAGTACAGTAGTAGATGTTGATGCCATGTCATGCTGGTTGGTTGAGCTCTTGACACAGTCCTACCATACATAGTCTTACTGCAAATGGCACTTTTTAAAAAAAATCCTTAAGCATACAATACAATGAGGGAACTGAATGAGATAACCAGCAACTAAGTCAGTTTTGGGTTAAAGATGGAAACTACAGAGCCCCCAAGTGGCCATCTCACAAATTGGACATTGTTTTCCTTTTTTTCACATGAAATAATTGTGTAAAAAAGACATAAAAACAGTGAAGCATCCATGGCAGAGCCAAAGATTTAGAGTAAGGACTAGGGGCAATACAATAACCTCCTCCCTATTCACCCTTGAACCGGCCAGCACCGCTGCAGTGCTGGGGTCAGTTCTCTCGGTCTTACGCTACTATGTCTCCAGAACAAATGCGAGAGAGGCGATGAGGAGAGATGCAAGGTTGGCCTGCAATGAACACTTCACCAGTCGGCTCGTTGGTCAGACGGACGCCACCCACCACGCTTCACTGTTAAAAAGTTTTCACACTTTCTGTTCATTTTCATCTATTGTCTGTATCAGAAATATGTATCACACATTGGTCAAGTTTATCTTTTTGCTTTATTTTCTTTTCAGTCAAGTAACTTTCCATGTGTTTGTCACAGTGTTCGTGCATAACATCAGTGCTGCCTCTTCCCGTTGCCACTATTCCCGGCTGGGTACCTGAGTGGGGTGGCTGTGGGGGCAGCATGCCAGTCTGACCTGGTCTATCACAATGGCTCGTGGCCACACTAACACACACAGACACAAACGTACATCTAAGAGTCCCGCATATGCACTTGACTGCGTCTACCTGCAGTATGTTGCACAGGCCAGTGGTCTCGGCCGTCTAAATGAAATTGCCTACACTGATTCAAAACCTGCTAAAATTCCATAAGGAAACAAATTGCAGCATAAAATTATGCTGGTAAACTAAATATGCCTTATGGCACAATTAATTTATCAATAGAAAACATCTCAAAAAAGGATGTTTTGATTATCAAACAACTGATGCTGCAGACGCTTTATCCCACTTGCCGCCGTCACTCAACTTGCTACGGAGTGTCTCCCTTGGCCTGGGCCTGCGGGGTGCGGGGCTAGGAGGCCTGGTGGCTGGTGGTGGAGGGGGTACAAGGGTGACCAGCTGTCCCAAACTATCACCTCCGGTCATGATACAAAAGGTACTGCGTGATTGAAGGTGGCAGATTGAGTTCTTCAATTCGAGAAAGTCGCTGTTTCCCAACTGCCTGCCGTATCACACGTCGACATAAGTCCATCAGTGGTAGAGGCTCCGCTGAAAGTGGGAAAATGAATTTAGTGGAAAATGAAACCATTATGAAAAAATATAGATTAGGTCCTTCATAACATGAAGCAACCAAATTTTCATTTCAAGTTGGTTAATATATATATATATATGTACTGTAATTTGTAGGCAATATGTCAGCAGTAATGATAGGGAATACTTACGATCTAATCCACCTATGTATCTGATGGTTATCTCACAATGCCCCCACACAGCTGACACTATTGGGTACAGTTTCTTTCCTTTCAAACCTCGAAATGCTACACCCAGGTACTGGCCCTCGACCACAAATGCCAACGTGCCCTCATCCATGTCAAGAACAACTAGAGTGGAAGGAGTGAACATTATAAATACAGTAATGATGCGTTAAATATCACTCGAGAATAAAAACCTCATAATTTTTGTAGATGAGGCAACAGATAAACCATATGGATTAGAAGGGACTTTGTTGTGGAAAGAGAACATCACAACAAAACACCAGTTTGTAAACATTGTTAAGTGAGATACAGAGAACAACTGACAGTGAATCAAGAGATACTTTGTACATTCATCAAAAAGCAATTTTTACATTAAAAACAAATTTAAACCAATCTTAAAAGAAGAGTTAGCATTAGAAAACATGACAATTAACTGGCCTTTTGTAAATTTAAAGTTAGGATTGCCAAAACAATACAACTACACATAGGCCTATAGGTAAAACTATCCCACATCTTTACAAGAATCATATCAATGAAAACTGAAGTTGAGCATAAAAGCCAAAATTGTACCATCGAAGTATTACAGCATATTACAGTTTAGTGTAACAGTTGCCACGGATGAAGTTATTTCTGATGAGATTAACACGAGGAATGTTGGTTAACTGTGAACAGCGGATATTTCTTATACATCACACACAAGGTGAGAATGGATGTACAGTATCGTCTTCATGCAACACTACAGGGACACAAATTTAATACTGTATTTGGCCAACACTAGGCGATTTTATTTAGCACAAAGGTGACCCTGTACACAAGGGGTTAATGACTCATTTACTGTTAGCTCACAAGGTAAATAATATGAAAATGAGTGATTTTTTTCTGAGCCTTCTTGAACCGGTTTCTCCAGACAAACAAAGATATGAACTTGGAATTATCAAAGAAAAGAAAAATACATTGTATGGAATGACAACACTGTAAAACACACAAAACACTTACCATAAAATTTATCTGGTACGACAAAAGTCTCGTCGTTGTTTAAGAGTGAAGGATATGTAATGCCGGAGTTGCCTTGTTTAGCATTGTGATACAACTTATTGCGTCCTAAATCCCAGCCCCATGACTGGTCGTTACTGCCCACCAAGCTCTGCCGGGAGAAACAAAATGTTAGTAAACAACAACCATAGAGTACGACCTTAAACATAATTACATCTAAGTCGAATCAGTTTTAGAAGGACAACCATGACTACAAAATAATTATGAATCAGTTTTAAATAATACACACACACACATTTAGTACAACCAAGGAACATTTCATAAAAGATAACTCTGATATTCTTACACCTAATCTATGATACTGGTCACGATCTGTACTAGGGTGACACGTCATCTAATGGCCTTGCTGTGGAAAGGGAGTTACTGAGAGTGGATAGTGGGAAATAATGGCTGTGTGTTTCCTCTTCATTGTGGCCAGTGCATTCTAGTGTGGGGGACAGGCTTGTTTACAGTGGTGCAGCTTAACTCACCTGGTACCCTTGAGAGTGTAGAGGGGCCTCATCAGTTGCTACTCCCACTACTGCATGGGTACCACGTTGCCGTGTGGACCAGTGTATCTCCCATACATGAAGGCCCCGAGTATACCCGACTCTTCCTCGGATACAATCGGTACTCTGGGCTACTGGGTGCCGGTGGAACGTCATTTTGTCATCCTCCTGAAAAAAAGGTTACTATTATACCTCGCTAAAATATATGACATTATAAAGATTCTGGCGTATAAACCTGATATTTTAACTGGTCATTGTGAAGATATTGTAAAATAAAGTAAACACTGACTATACACAGCACCAAAACTAAGAATATTTCTTCCCCTGAACAACTGTGTCAGCTTTACATTACCCAGAAACTTTGTCATGGTTCATGGTAAGTTGTTGTAAGTGAAACATTCTCTTAATGTGCTCATACACACAACAGTCAGGATGTGATTTATAGCTGATAACTGTTCAGTTGTCTGTGGCAAACAAGTGTAGGGTGTAGTGTGATAGGGGCCCTGGACGTGGGTAGAGCAGCTGTCACCCCTAAATTTAAGTTATATAAAGTATCATAATCTGGGAGTTCACTTTATTTATGTCCTGGGCACAGGCCCACATGATAGGTTTTGTCCTCTACATCTGGAATATTTCTGACACCCCTGGCAGATGTGAGCATCCTGGCAGTCCCTGGTGTGAGCCCTGATAAGGATATGCTTCAGTTCCACTGATTATATGATACAGTACAGTACAGGTATATGTTGTTAATCTATTTGTTAGATATTAATGTCATGACACATACAGTAATGATAAGTATGAATTATAGAGTCTTGGGAAAAAAAAAACGCTTATACATCAACAGTGTTCTTCACAGTCATCCATCAACAGTTTGTAGCAAGTGTCACAAGAGATCACTTTTGTCAACACTGTACTGTTTGTCGAGTCACACTCATAAAGGTTTTGGAGAAGGAAAAATTGAATCAAACTCAGAACGAGGTCAGTGGACACAAGTGAGACCCTACCACAGTTAAATACAAGACTTGCTAAACCTTAGACAAAAATGATTGTACTATATGTACCTTTTGGCTCACACACGTGTATTTTGCCCACACACATGCGTATACAATACAATGTTGTAAACATGCACAAACGCAGTACACATACTGTATAGTTCAACCTGAGTTCTATACTGTAGTTGGGAGCATTTATCTGAAAATTTCAGCTAAGAATTATAGATCTGTCGGAATTGATTACAAGTACTTTACTACTGTATTTACCTTGACAAATATATTTAACGACCGGTCATCTGCATTCCATGCATGCTTAAGGGATGCTTCTCGGGGTACGGGTGGCATATCCAATAGCAGGTCTAGCCGCTTGGGGCGGGTGTAGTCTGGAGACATGGCCAACTCCCGGGTCAGGCGAGGTTGTAGCGACCCGCCCTCACCCCGACCCACAGACTTCATACCACCTGAAACAACAGAAAACAACTTGTTAGAAACTACGAAATCTGTCAACACCGTAAGCTCACACGACTACTCTGGGGGCTCCAACATCTGGGAAAACTGACACACATCCATACCATCTGAAAACAATAGAACATTCTGCAACCTGTTAAGACACATGGAGGGGAAAACCACTTGTAAATCTTAAATACAACAATAAATTTCAAAGTTTAGGTACATAAATATCAACAGCAAACAGGGCCAGTAACCTAAACACAACAACACACCTGCCAAAAAATACTACCAGGAGATACTGTAATTTAACTTTTTTTATCATAAGAGCATTTCTGTCAAAATGACCTCCACATCACACAGGAAAATGAAAACTGAAAACTCCCAAGTGGCCACACCATCTCAAGACCTCTACATGGGAACTGATGAGGTCTTTAAGAGAACATTAAGCTCCATTTCATTTTCCTGTGAGAATTAACACACCACAGTACCAGCATGTGACAGGAACTTACAGCACTGAATAAACATGACCTCAAATTTTATTCCCAACATGTTCACCGACTACAGTACTTAAATTGATCAGGGTTAAGCATACAGTAGTTCACAACAGGAAAATATTTGCACTTGTTAGTTTTACACCAGAAAAGGGGGAATAACTTACACTGCAGTCTCCCATTATATAACAAACATAGCAGTTTTCTATAGACTTTTAAGGTAATTTATATAAAAGGAAGCAAAGGTAAGGGTGTTAGAAGACCCTTATTTATGGTACTGTACTTATCAAGTCAGCTTGTAAATAAAAGTACTGTTACCTGGTAGTTGAGGCTAATAATGTGGTCAAAATTTTTCTTTACGGTAAACACAATTTTACACCTGATCACCAAGGAGCTGTAGTATCTAGGTGAATCCTGCCACTCCCTCACCAGCACCTAGGTCCTAGGTGAACCCTGCCACTCCTTCACCAGCACCTAGGTGAACCCTGCCACTCCCTTACCAGCACCTAGGCGAACCCTGCCACTCCTTCACCAGCACTTAGGTGAACCCTGCCACTCCCTCACCAGCACCTAGGTGAACCCTGCCACTCCCTCACCAGCACCTAGGTGAACCCTGCCACTCCCTCATCAGCACCTAGGTGAACCCTGCCACTCCCTCACCAGCACCTAGGTGAACCCTGCCACTCCCTCATCAGCACCTAGGTGAACCCTGCCACTCCTTCACCTAGTAAGGGTAACGAAACGAGCTGGGGTGACCTTACCGACCACACACTTCCTGTGGTCGAGCAACAATAGGGCAAACAGATGCAGGTTTTACAGTCAGTGTGGTACTAACGCCAATGTCTCTATTTAACAAGACTTGATGAAAATCTGAGAGGTAGTCCCACCCACACCGTAGTCCCACCCTCACCGTAGTCCCACCCACACCGTAGTCCCACCCACACAGCCACAATAAGAGCCTAATCACCATGACCTGAAGACTGTAATAGTTGTCGTGTCTTGAACGTAGTAAATCAGTCTCAGGTTATCACTGATTGGGATGAATAGAAACTAATCAAGATACAGAGTCTACCATTGGCACACACCTGAGCACTGTGAAGGTGACCCACCAACCTTAAATACACGAAGAGAATGAGTAATACTGTCGTGTGTGTGTGTGTGTGTGTGTGTGTGTGTGTGTGTGTGTGGGGCCAGTTTGTATTACTCATCTTTCTTAATACTTATCATCAGTGGCCAGAAACGTCGACTTGGGTGCACTAAACTAAACTAAACTAACCCCTGGGAGCTAAAACACAAGGCCACCGTCAATGGCTGACCTCGTATTTATCATCAGTTAAGAGAAACAATGAGAACAAGAGCCTTTCATCTCAACACACCTCACCTGAGTCACCTGTATGTCTGTCATCCTCTCTACCTGCTACCTCCTCTTCCCCTCCTCCTACCTGGCTACCTCCTCTTCCCCTCCTCCTACCTGGCTACCTCCTCTAACCCCTCCCCTACCTGGCCACCTCCTCCCCCTCTGTACGAGTCAGCTGATCCTACAGGTGAACATCACATACCAACCACCCTATTATCAGCTGACATTAAAACACAAGTCAGGGAGATGGAACAAAACGTCACAGCCACCACCCAGCAGCTGTAGGCGAATGATTGCTGCATACTGTAGTCAAGGCCAGGGTCGCTTATCCCCGCCACACACACACACACTGCACAACCCTTGCCAAACACCAACACCTCCGGCCATCGTCTCTATCTAACGCCTCTATCTCCTCCTCCTCCTGTTGCTGTAAATACCCAGTAGTTACATCTCCAGGGCCCCAGGGACACAGTATCTGGGAGTGTAGCAGCGCCAGGGGTGTAGCCGGCATGAAGTACACATACATATACGACGTCGTCATGGTCAGGGTTACCTGGCTCCGGGCGGTCCACCTTCATGAACCTCGCCACACACACACTCCCCTGATGGTGGTGGCGTGAAGCAACAACCCCACTCTCTCACAATGCTGCCTCATTCACTCCTCCTGAAGGTGTTAACAAATATATCAATAACACACAGTCCTCAACCACGAACAACAATACTAACATATATTTATGACAACACCACAATTGCTATCATTTACTCCACCTTAACACGGCGTACTAGACCTCACTCTCCCAAGCAATAAACGACACTAACAACAACAAAACCCAGCTTGAGCCAGAGACAAGAAAAAACAAATGAACGTCGCCTTAACACCTACGTTCCTGCGCGTCCTTCCAGGTGTTGAGAAAAAGAGAGAATTGCGGTGAATGCTAGATGACATTTCCTGTGCCGATGTAACGAAGACAAGAGTATCGAGGTTTTCCTACTGCGTCACGCGGACAAAGAGGATTGATAAAAAAAATACAAATTAGTGGTTTAGTTATCAACGAGTGGATTATACCTGGACGAGCAGCTTTCTGGTTTTTATGAATATACCTGTTCAAGCTTTGGGAGTTGTATATACAGTAGATATACACCTGGATAAGCCTTTTAAATGTGTTGAAAAAATGGATAAGCTTTTAAGCGTGTTGATATACCTGGATAAGCATTTAAACGTGTTGATATACCTGAATAAGCTTTTAAGCGTGTTGATATACCCGGATAGAGCTTTTAAACGTAAAATACCTGACAATGAGCTTTTTAACGTGTCAGGACCTTCCCATTGTAAACTAACACCTGGATATTATCACAAAACAAACCAATTAGTGAAGAGGTGTAACGATGATGACACCTTCCCACAACAACCCACTGTGTGTGTGTGTGTGTGTGAGAGAGAGAGGTAAATGAACTCTGCAGGTAAACGACTCGTGCATCTTACACCGGCGAGTGATTAAGGTATATCACTTTCCTTGACACACACACACACACAACGGAAACCCTAGAACTAACGCTTGAACACGGGACCGGAAATTGCACATCCCGGATCCAAAAGCCTTAAAAGTTACCTCACGTGAGACACCTATATTAAAAACAAATACAATATCCTACGTTAAGAAACAAAAAACAAAAGCAATTCTAAAGATTACAAAAACATAGTCAAGATTGTTGGAGATGCGGCGGCCGACAGGTGGTCTAACACGTGCTGGCAATAAGGTCCTCCACCAATCAGCTGATCCCTCTTCCCCCAGCCCACAGCCAATCAGGTGAGAGACTTCCTTGGATTAACCGGAATCATGAAGCGCTGCTATAGTAGATTGTCCTGCCACACACACACACACACACACACACACATACACAGGCTCATTTTACTTTTTGTTGACGAGAGGAATAAATCATCGTCCTCAAGGGGTTAAATCATCGTCCTCAAAGGAGTTAAACCAGCAACCTCAAAGGGTTAAATCGTCGTCCTCAAGGGGTTAAATCGTCGTCCTCAAAGGAGTTAAACCAGCAACCTCAAAGGGTTAAATCGTCGTCCTCAAAGGGTTAAATCGTCGTCCTCAAGGGGTTAAATCATCGTCCTCAAAGGGGTTAAACCAGCAACCTCAAAGGGTTAAATCGTCGTCCTCAAAGGGTTAAGCCATCGTCCTCAAGGAGTTAAACCATTGTCCTCAAGGGGTTAAACCATCGTCCTCAAGGGGTTACCTCGCCAACAGCTGATTATGGCCTAGAAGCTCTCGAGTAGAAATGAGTGAATGACCACTCCACCTGGCCACCTCCTCTTACCTCCCCTACCTGGCCACCTACTATTCCCTTCCCCTACCTGGCCACCTACTATTCCCTTCCCCTACCTGGCCACCTACTATTCCCTTCCCCATACCTACTGTTACCTTCCCCTACCTGGCCACCTACTATTCCCTTCCCCACTTGGCCTACCTACCTACCTGGCCACCCACTATTCCCTTCCCCCTTGGCCTAGCCACCTGGCCACCTACTCTTACCTTCCCCTACTTGGCCACCTACTCTTACCTTCCCCTACCTGGCCACCTACTCTTACCTTCTCCTACCTGGCCACCTACTATTCCCTTCCCCTACCTGGCCACCTACTCTTACCTTCCCCTACCTGGCCACCTACTCTTACCTTCTCCTACCTGGCCACCTCATCCTTACAGGGCACTAAAAGAGTAAACAAGGGGACGGTGTGTGTGTGTGTGTGTGTGTGTGGCCACGTGTCAGTAGCACATGTTTACGCCAGAGATGGATTCAAGCCACGCGACCTCCAACTCTTGAGAGGCTGACCAACTGATAACGCCTTGTAGTACACACACACACATTATTGAGATTAAGGACCACCTGACAAAATTTAGGTGAGGTGAGGTGAGGAGGTGCACGGTGGGGGAGAGGAAGGAAGTCAGTGTTGGGGAGGAGGAAATTTCAATGTGAGGGATGAGGTCACATGGGGAGGGAGAGAGGGGTGGAGGGGAGAGAAAGGGGGAGGAGAGAAAGAAAGAGTGGGGTGGAGGAGAGGAGAGAAAGAAAGAGGGGGAGGAATGAATATAGCGTAGATAATGATGGGGGTTAAGTCAACAAAGAGATAGATGAGGAGAGATAGAGAGAGACG